AACCTGTCATTGAATTATCAAATTTGTTTTAAGAGTTTTATTCATCCCTGTTAATTTTGTACCAAAAAGTTTTTTAATATTAAGAATGAATGGAAAGACCTTTTTAATTCCACATTCACACTCCACACAAACAATTTTCAAAACAGTAAGTTTTAAAGGACTAAGATACAAAGCATGTGATTGTAGAATGTTCTGTTATCAAATGAAATGAATGAAGCTAAACAGTGTTTGCTGTAAAAGATACTACTAGGCAGTTTTACCTTGAGGCCCTTGATTTTGTGGAGGGAAAATTCCCAGTGAAAGCACCAATATTAATCGAGTATTGAAATTAATGTTGACGTTTCAATCCTTCATTATTATGACAATGAACCCCTCTTGATATTCATACATTAACTACAGAATCATAACAATTTTAAAGCCTTTGTTGCATATAAATTATGCTAAACCATGTTTGGAAACTTTTTTTTCTCCAAAATTTTGTTCAAAAGCACTCATAAAATGAGTTGATGATACTTTTTACATTTAATTTTTGATGTTTAATATACAATGTACATTAAGCAAAATTTATTTCTTTTAGTAATTCATCGTCTTTTTTTGCGACTCAACTTTTAGACTCGTCACAAAATGGACTATGTAGCCCCAACCATTATTTGATTTATGGCCACTACTTTCTGTAACATACCTGCTGTTTTAGTGGTGCTGGCTGAGGTGGAGGTGAATGAGGTGGAGGTGAATGAGGTGGTGCTGGCCGGGGTGAAGGCCGTGACCAAGATGGGGCTGGCTGAGGTGAAGGCCGTGACCAAGTTGGTGCTGGCTGAGGTGGAGGTGACAAAGGTGTTGCTGGCCGAGGTGAAGGCCGTGACCAAGGTGGGGCTGGCTGAGGTGGAGGTGACAAAGGTGGGGCTGGCTGAGGTGAAGGCCGTGACCAAGTTGGTGCTGGCTGAGGTGGAGGTGACCGAGGTGGTTCTGGCTGAGGTGAAGGCCGTGACCAAGTTGGTGCTGGCTGAGGTGGAGTGCTAATACTTGAAGCAGCTTGCCCCTGAGTAGCTGTGCTCTCTGAACTAGTGGCTTGCTCTGGCTGCGATGGCTCATCCTGCGTTAAGATTATGAAAATGAACTTTTAGGCAACCTGTCATTGAATTATCAAATTTGTTTTAAGAGTTTTATTCATCCCTGTTAATTTTGTACCAAAAAGTTTTTTAATATTAAGAATGAATGGAAAGACCTTTTTAATTCCACATTCACACTCCACACAAACAATTTTCAAAACAGTAAGTTTTAAAGGACTAAGATACAAAGCATGTGATTGTAGAATGTTCTGTTATCAAATGAAATGAATGAAGCTAAATAGTGTTTGCTGTAAAAGATACTACTAGGCAGTTTTACCTTGAGGCCCTTGATTTTGTGGAGGGAAAATTCCCAGTGAAAGCACCAATATTAATCGAGTATTGAAATTAATGTTGATGTTTCAATCCTTCCTAATTATGACAACGAACCCCTCTTGAGTTGATGATACTTTTTACATTTAATTTTTGATGTTTAATATACAATGTACATTAAGCAAAATTTATTTCATTTAGTAATTCATCTTGTCTTTTTTTACGACTCGACTTTTGGACTCGTCACAAAATGGACTATGTAGCCCCAACCATTATTTGATTTATGGCCACTACTTTCTGTAACATACCTCATGATAGCCACATCTGCAAACTACCCTGTTTCCAAGAAGGTCATATGCTCTTGTCACGATGTGAAGGGGACAAGCGTCTATCCTCTTCAGAACCTCTTTCCACTTCTTGGCCCCTGGCTTCTTGCCTGTGCTAAAGTGGTACTTCCCCTGGGCATATTGGCGAAGAATGTTTTGCCAGTGCGAGTCGGGCTTCCCTTTCTTGGTCATACCTGCAATAATGTATCAACAATTAGCAGAAAGAATGATTATAGGCACATAAAGTAGAAAGCTGGGAAGGGATCGAGGCTACGTGCCCCCAGCAAGCTAGTCCGGTCACACTAAAAGCCGACAACTGACGTCGACGACGACAACAAATTTTAAGTGCACTTTCAAACAATGTTTTAACAAAAATAAATCGTTATGTATAGAGTCATATATCCAAATCACCTTCAATCTGTTGAAAAAGTTTTGATTTTGACTATAAAAAAAGGTTTTGTTAATACAACGATTTAGTAAAAAAAAGAAGTGTCCGCCATGATGCATCTGGAATGCACTTGGACGATACCATTATATGCAAAGAGTAAGTTCTATAGGCTTATTTTTTTTGGACTGTTTTTCGTTCTCTCTTTATTTCGTCTTTTTACTTTTTTAAAGCTTACTGGCTGTCATTTTACTACTGTAGTACCATGTTAGTTTTTTTAATGATTCCTTTAAAATAAAGACAACTTGACTTGCCATTTTCAATTAAAAACAAAACTTTTTCAACAGATTGAAGGTGAATACAAATTACTCTTACTCATATATTTTAAATACATCATCAACCAGTAGCAAAATAAGATTTAAGAATAAAACTGAATATTCATAAGGAAAAGGAGAAGTGAACCAATGATAAGTAAGAAGTGGAAATATGTAAAGCATACACACAAGATCATGAATAAAGAATGAGAAGAGAACAAAAGGAACATACCAGGTGAAATGGACGACTTGGTATGTAGAGAAGATGAATGGAGGAAGGAATTGGGTCAAGTGAATATGTAAGTGAATAAGCAAATGATGTGAAATGAATATGTAGAACTATAGAAAGAAGAGACTAGAGAAACAAATAGTAATTGTGACAAATACAAGTAAGGAATAAGTTTAATTTAAACTCTTACATAAAATTCCCTTTCAACTAAAAATGTCCTCATTTTTTTTAAATTTGGAAACATGACAATTCTTTTAAAAACACTTTGAAAACTTATTTGTAATTCACCAATAATTTGAATAGATTGAATAGCTTTAAAAGAGTAACAGTTCACAGTGAACTTTTCTCTAACAATCTAGACTATTTGAAAATAAGAGTTTTGGTGTTTTTCTGTAATTTAAAAAAAAAAGAGCCGAATGCAATTGCTTCACAAAAATTAAACTGTCACGATATTCTTCTTTTCAATCTTAATTCTTATGTCATGAGTCAAACAGATATTCAAGGCCAATTCAATTTTTGTTGAGATATTGATATTTTTGCATAATTTTGTACCTAAATGGCCTACGACACCACCTGATAAATCCATGGAACGCCTCCTTCTCGGTTTTTTCACAAATTCCACACAAACACCCTTAAACTAAACCTCGTAATTTTAACCCCCTTTGATCGAAGCTGCACTGACAAAACCTCGTAACATCATGACATAAGCTACGTAATTCCTTTTCCTTGTAACTCACACAGTACCGAAGTTAGTGTATTCAAATCCTCGTAACTCATTCAGAGTTTAAAGTAAGAACATAAACGCAAAAACCTCGTAGATCTAGATCTAGTCTAACTCACTTTCAAATATAGACCTAGACTAGTCTATAGATCTAAACACAATTAGACCTATTTTACCGACACTGTTTTTCAACAATGACATTAAAAATTGTAAAAATATTCCAGTTTTAAAAAGAAAGGACGGTGTCACAGCACTAAATTTGTTGAGACAGGAAAGTTTTTTCGCTCTCCTGAAAATTCATGATTTTTGAGATAGAGGTCTAACTTAGATCTAGTCTAACTTAGATCTAAAGTTAGACAGGTTTTGTCACCCGGCCACCGACGATATCACACATCCCACACATACCCATACCATGCCAGAGTCACTGAAGAACCACATTTGCAATGGAAAATATATCCTAAAATATCACATTTTAGCGATGTAATCGGCGGTCCCGCTACCCGAATCTGAAAAATCGAGTATCTTACGCGTGTCTGTAAGAAATATGGGTACCATGAAAATGAACTTTATTTCAAGTATTTTTCAGATTTAGCACATCGATTTCAAAGATTTTTCATATTTAGCACACAAAACCGTGTGCGCGATCAGACACGTGCACCGTACTATAGTCTAGGGCTATAGACTAGATCTACTCAAGATGTAGACCTCTAGGTCTAGATCTCGACTATTTGAAGCCGTTATTAGAAAATATTCTAATCAATAGTTTGTTAATTTTTGTAATTTATTTCTGGGGATAAATAGTTCTCATTTTTGTTTGAACATTATTTTGTTTTACTCTTATCTTTCTGCTTTTTTGTCGTGAACAAATTCTTGGGGAATGGTACGAGTTGGCAAAGGTACAAGTTGGACGGCGAAGGTTCAAGATCAAGTGCCTGTTTCTGAAAATAGGAACCTAGACTACAGTCTAACTTAGATGTTTATAGGCCTACAAATAAATGAAATTCAAACTCACCTGAATGGAGAAGACTGCTTCGAAAGATGAATTTTCTGAGGGCACTCACAGAAAAAGTTGAAAGAAGAGCAAAATATGCTGGCAATTCGCACTCAGTCAAACTAAAGTTGAGGAGCATGCATGCGCAGAGATCACGAACACGACCAATTGCGCTTATTTGTCAATTATTGTCAGGGGAAAGTCATGTGACCAAAGTCTCCGCCCCTTTCTTTATGCCCCCTGTTAGGAATCGGTTAGGAATTGTTAGGAATTGTTAGGAAATGGTTCGGACTTGTTAGGAATCTTTAGTAATCGGTTAGGAATTCGGTTGTAGTCCCCTCGGCGGCAGTAGGGGCCACAAGGCCGATCTGTAAGAATGATGAAAATTAAATTATTTATTTTAATTATTGAGAATTTTACACATTGTTATTCTTGTTTAATCCATGGCAAAGATAAATCTGAAATTATAATGAAATTCATTGCTTTTCACTACTTGCTAAAAAGCTATAAACATTGATTTATACAAAAACGATATCAGTCTGATATGATCAGACTGAGATTGACGTCATTGAATTTCGCTGGTTCCAACAAATAGCAGTACCGCGCTGGTGCACCGATTTGCCGTGTAGAAATATGTAGAATGAAGATTGAGATGGATGGAGCGAAACATTAAACTTGGATGTTTTGCTTGTCACCGAGTACCGGTGTTTACTGAATTGTGGTTTGTTCTACAAGATCACCAAGCCGTGAAAATGAATAATTCTTGAAATATTTCGTAAATAACGATTCAGGCGTGTCGTTTACAGCGAGTTATGAGTTCTTGCTGTACAAGAAATCTACTTTCTGACCAAGCGTAAGGTAACGTACGGCAACATTTTTTTCTTCTTTTCAGTCAGTGCTGTGGTAGCTTACATGCGCGGCCCCTTTGCGCCCCCGGTGCGCCGGGTTAACGTTCTGGCAGTGGCACTGCCATGTCTCTGCGCTGTGGCTGTATTGCTAATTGCTATGTAATTTCTGAATTTTGTGCAGTGTTTACAGATATGAATATGACGGCATTTCCCAGTGTTTTTAGAGTAGATATTGCTTGTTGAGTGAGTGAATGGTGTTGCGCCTGGCTGGCTAGGCTTGTGACATGTGTTGTGTGTCCATATTTTCAAATGTACTTGTCGGTTGTGTCCTTGATTATTTGATTGACCATCGAATGATCGATGATCGTGTGATGATGGAATTTACTCTGGAATTGTAGTCTAGATCTAGATCTAGGCTTGACCGAATTTTTCTGTCTCTTTCGTTCGGTGAGAAAGAAAGAAGAAGCAGAATAAAGAAAAGAGCCACCCCGGAAAAAAATTAGAAAAATGATTACAAAGAAAAATAAGTAAATAATAAATTTAGCCCCCCCCCCCAAGGCCAGTTGCCCTTTTACCCCAAATTTGGCGACTATTGAGCACCCCCCCCCCCATCCCATCCCAACCTGCCCCTATCATGTGCGCATATCGGAAGAACAAATTAATAAACATTTCAAAGGTAATTTCAGAGGTGGTTTGATTTTTTCTTTTCTTTTTTTAGTTCACCATAGTTTTTATTCGGTTATTTCAGTTCGCTAGTATCTCGCATCAAGCAAAGAGGAGATCCCCTACTTCGCTGCTATTTTTGGCTTAAAATTGCTTTTTATGACGTCAAATGATTAAAAATCATCAAGTTTTGGTATGTTTATATTTGCATATATTAGCATAATTAATATTATTGATATTAAATCCATAATAAACTGAGATTTTCAGCTGGGCACTAAAGTCCGGGTTTGCCTTAATTGAAATTCAAAAAACTAAAAAGAAAGCTGTTTCCTTTCATCAATCATCATTATCAAGACATCATTCGTTCTGTTCATCGTCTGAACCCCCTGAAGAAGAACTGTTTTAGAAAGGGGGATAAGTCACATTGAAACTTGTGCAAACTTATCATTTCAAATGTACCTGGCATGGCAGTAGTCTATCATCAATATTGAATCCTTTGACACTTTTTAAAGTAGCCCAAACGCTTCAATAATTAAATATAGATCAATATAGGCCATGATCACACAACCTTCACCTGTGTCTCATCATGGACCAAAGAAGGAGAAGAGGAAGAGGACAAAGTAGGAGGAGGAAAAGAGGAAAAAGAAGGAGAAGGGGGAGGAGGAGGAGAAGAAGAAGAAGAAGAAGAAGAAGAAGAAGAAGAAGAAGAAGAAAGAAGAAGAAGAAGAAGAAAGAGGAGGAGGAGGAGGAGAGAAAGAAGAAGGAGGAGGAGAAGAGAAAGAAGGAGAGGAAGAAGAAGGAGAGGAAAAAGAAGGAGCAGGAGAAGTAGGTGAAGAATGAGAGGAAAAGAAAGAGAAGAAGAAGATGCGATTTTATGGGTCAACCAAGTTCAACAAGCTCATTTCAGATGCTCAAAGTTTCATGTAAAATTTGCCATACATGTACATGTACATACCATCTTTGAAACACCCAAATAAGCATTAATGGTCATTGATATTGAATCTATATCTGTGTGCACCCATGCAAAGGCGACTAGCTAGAATGCTCCCCAAAAGTGTGCACTTTAATGTGCAGATTAGAAAATGAATCCAATAACCAGGGTGATAATAATACTGTAAGTGCTTTGATCAGGTAATGGTAAACTGCTTTGATCAGGTAATGGTAATCTGCTTTAAATAAGAAAAAGGTATTATTATTGTTATTATTATTATTATTATTTTTATCATTATTTTGTCATTATCATTATGGTTGTATTGTTATTATTATTTGTATTATTATTATTATTTATACCATTTATATCATCATTATTATAAATATTATATACTTATTTATATGTCTATGTACCTTTTACACTCGCAGTACACCCTAATCCAAGATGGCTGAAGCGGTCAAGGTTATCGTGAGATGTCGCCCTCTTAACGGGAGAGAGAAGAGTCTCAAATGCAAGACATGCGTCAAGATGGACGGCAAGCGCGGATACTGCGAGATCCTCAAACCGAACTCCAAGGATCCTTCCAAGTCGTTCACGTTTGATGGGGCGTACTTTGTCGACTCAACGACGGAACAGATCTACGGTGATATAGCCTATCCGCTGGTCGATGTAAGGATTATTTATTAAATGGTGTAGTTTGCTTAGTGGATCTAGTGGTGGTGGTTATTTTACCAGACTGCTAAGAAAGCATGCATGTATATGATTAGTAAGCAACCAGAGGGCCAACAGCTTTAAAGTAGTTTATAGTTTCTACTTTCCAACTCGGTCAAAGATGCTACACGGACACCCAGTGAATGACTTGAATAACTACCAAAACAAAAATTGAGTATTAGTAGTTCCATGTTGTAGTTCAAATATTAAGTACCGGTATGTTAAAAAAATTTGCTATTTAAAATACAAGCTTAAAGGTAATACAAGTTTTGGTAATATTTCAACAGGATTGGATTATGAAATTTAAAATTTGCATTACCATTGTGAAATCTAGTGTTAGAAAAAGCAACTTTGACAGAATTGAGGAATTAAAATATCAGTGTATCTATACAATGGTAGCTGTGACCATGAAAGTCTTGGAATATGCAGTTTTGATATATAATTTTCAAACGGGAATAGAAATTGGTTGATTTTCGTCAAGAAAGATTGTTTTGAAGCTAAAGTAATATCAATCTTGAGAGGGAGATATACGACAAAGAGTTTATTATTTACAATTTCATCACTTTAGACTTGATTTTTTTTATTTGCAGGGTGTGTTGGAAGGCTACAATGGAACTATCTTTGCTTATGGGCAGACTGGATGTGGAAAGTCGTTCAGTATGCAGGGCATCACAGACCCAGCCACACAGAGGGGTATTATACCCAGAGCATTTGAGCACATCTTTGAGAACATTCAGGTAATTTTCTGTCCCTTTCTGTCTGTCAACTTGTTTCTGACTATGGAAAGTTATTCAGTACAAGTACATGTATGTTAGGACCCTGCCACACAGAGGGGTATTATACCCAGAGCGTTTGAATACATCTTTGAGAACATTCAGGTAATAAGCAGTACTGTTTGTACTATTGTCTACTTCTCTGTCCCTTTCTGTCTGTCCACTTGTGTCCTACTATGGAAAGGTATTCAGTACATGTATGTAAGGACCCTGCCACACAGCGGGTATTATACCCAGAGCATTTGAGCACATTTTTGAGAACATTCAGGTAATAAGCAGTACTGTCTCTCTGTCCCTTTCTGTCTGTCCTCTTGTGTCTGTCTGACTATAGAAAGTTATTCAGTAGCAGCACATGTATGTTAGGTCCCTGCTGTATACAGAGGGGTATAATACCCAGAGCATTCGAGCACATCTTTCCTATCATGCACAAATTTTACTGTAAAAGTGTTGATAAAGCATGCTTAAGATGCAAGTATGTATGCCTCTAGCGTGTTAAAAGTGAGGATGCAATATATTGCAAATTGGTTGTCATTCATAAATAATATTCTGCAGTTGTGAGTCGGTCAAAGGAGGTGCACACCGTCTTATTTTTTGTTTGTTCGATCCTATGTTTGATCCTATGTTTGACCTCTTGTATGTATGTTTGTTTGATCTCACTCTTATCTTATTTTTTATTATTATATATGCATGATTTATTGAATAAAGAACAGATGTATAAGTTGTGTGTTTATTATAAGTTTTGGTAAATAATTGTTAAGTCAGAATATGGTGCGCTTAGAGACACCAGTATTAAGCGCCTTATAAATATTGTTTATTATTATTATTATTATTATTATGGCAAGGACACTATTTTACCCTGTCATGAAAATCATTCAGAACCTAAACAATATACCAGACGCATGGGTAGCAAGTGCAAAAATTACCTCACACACTGCATCAATTTTCTGTGCATGACCCTATTGTCTTTTTATGCCAGAAATTTAAAAAAGGAAAATGAGCTTATTATATCCTTAAATTTGCATACATTGAGAGGTTCTGAATCACTACTTTCTCAACTTTTTGACAAAGTCTGTACACATAGATATTGTTTCTTAGAGACATAAAAACTGTAAACTGTTGTAACCATTGCAATTCAGTCTTTGGACTGCGAGAATGAATAATTATCAATAAAATCCTTCAATCAAAAAAAATCAAAAACAATATAATACATTTTAGTAGAACCATGTAGCAATAACATTAAAACAAGTCTGTTGCCGATTTGAAGAACAACTTGTGATTGATTTTAGCCTTGAAATAAATCCTGTACTATATGTGATGTGATCAGTGTCACACAGTGTCTGCTCTTTTCAAAACCAGTTTGGCATCAGTTTGACATTTCCCTGTAAGTCACAAGGTAGAAAATGCTCTTGACAAGTTCTGTTCATTTTTTCCTGTTTTGAGTTCTCCCGCATGCAGAGCATAGTCACTAATGCACTCATAAACATTAATAATTTATATACTAAGTAAATTAATTAGCCTGTATTTTCTGTTTGAGTTCATCTACATGCAGTGCATTAATCACTAATGCATTCCTGAACATGAATTATTTATATGCGAAGTACATGTATATTAGCTGGCCTGCATAAAAGGTATTAAACAAATTCCCTTGGAAATATATTCTGCAACTTGTATTTACAATGCAATGTTGTCTGACGATTAGGGGGGGGGGGGGGGCGTTAAAGTGTCTGGTAATCTATACTCTTTATTGATTCTATAGCACTAATCGATGACTTAAAAGACAGGCACAATACATACATGTACTAGGGACTAATCTCTGTAATGTATTGTTAAGTGCATGAAGGAAGGGCCTAGAGCTTACATTGTACATGTAACAGTCTAAATGAATACCTTTCCCAATTGACCTGTAAAATGCTAAGCTAAACTGACATTTTGAAGTGTACGGGGGACCCTGTTTCATAAAACTTGTTATCAATAACGAGTTACAAAGTCAGTTACAAGCTACTGAAATCGTGGCATTTGATTGGCTGAGAGCAAATTTGTCAGAGAAATCTAGCATGCTACATGTAGCATAAAGATAGAATGTTTCAACCATATATGTTATGCCTTCAAATGGTTAATTATTGTTCTGTATTAATTTTTTAAAATGTATCTAATATTTCAAAATGGAAAAGCAGATAGGATGAAAATGCATACCGTAGATTACACAAGTGTGACCTGTCCTAAATGTATGTACATGTAGATTGGTGCTCCCCATCCCATAGCCATGCAACTGATTTCATTACAGCCCCATGATCATTCCAGACACTGCGTTAATCAAACTTCCTGTTTTTTTGTGAGACTGATTAAGAACATATCATTCTTGCAAAAGTAGGAATAAACATGTTCCTGGCAGATCGCTTAATGATCAGTTGAGAAAGCCGCTCTTTTACCACTATGCCATGGCATGAATGTTAAAAGTCTCTCAATAGATTTAGTGTTTGTTTTGTTGTTGATGTTGTAGTCCATATTGGATCCACTGTCTCATATAGCTTCAGATGGAATGTTATGGGGGGGGGGGGGGGGTATATGAAATCCTCTTTCACACCATTAGACAATTTAAGTGAAATTTTGCCATGAATTGTTTTGCAATGTTTGGGCTCCCAACACTTTAGAGGGGCTTTAAAGAAGGAATTTGCATAGACAAACCACCCTGATAGCATACATGTACATGTACTGTGAACATGGCATGTATTCATATTTCATATGTAAATATGACATGTATTCATATGATATGCATGTATGTGCAGTACATTTGACATGAACATACATTATGACATGCATTTATCTGATATATGTGCAGTACATATGGCAGGCATTCATGTGATATAATATGCGCAGTACATATGACATGAACATATGACATGTATTCATTTGTTATCATATCTACATGTACATATTAATAACTACATATGTCATATCTACATTATACATTGATATATGACAGGTATTCATACATGTGTGACATTGATATCATATTTTACAGGTTGCAGAGGGCTTGAAGTACTTGGTGCGGGCCTCCTATCTAGAGATCTACAATGAAGAGATTCGTGATCTTCTTGGAAAGGACGCCAAGGCTCGTCTGGAACTCAAAGAACATCCAGATAAGGGTGTCTATGTCAAAGGTCAGATTATTATTAATATGATGGTGATGATGATGATTGTTATAATGATGATGATGATGATAGTGATGATGACGACATCGCTGGTAATGATGATGATGGTGATGATGTTGATAGTGGTAGTGGTTTGGGAGGTTATGGTGGTGGAGATGATGATTATGGTGATGATGGTGTTTATGATGGTGGTAATGAGGATGACGATGATGATGGTAGATGATGATTATGGTCGTGATGATGGTGGTGGTGATGATATTGGTGATGATGGTTATAGTGATGATGATGATTATGGTGATTATGGTGATAGTGATGATGATGGTGGTAGTGGTGATCGTGATGATGATGATGATGGTGTTTATGGTGATGTGGATTGTGATAGTGATGGTTATGATGATGCTTGTAGTAGTTGGGATAATGGTAACAGTAGTTATGTTCATGAAGCTAAAAGCATTTGATATGATGTCCATTTTCCCTTTAGACAAAATAGAGATATCATAACCTGATTTTAACAAAGCTAACATGCTACTTTTTAATGTAGAAAGCTTCTTCTTATCAATAAAGTTAACGTTTATTTTCCTGTTTTTTTTTTATAGAACTGACCATGCATATCGTGCACAACAGGCGTGAGTGTGAACAGATCATGGAGCTTGGGTGGAAGAACCGTTCCACGGGTGCTACATTGATGAATGCAGACTCGTCGCGTTCACATTCCATCTTCACCATCCACATAGAGATGTGCGAGGTGGACGATACTGGAGAGGATCACATCCGAGCCGGCAAACTCAATCTGGTTGATTTGGCCGGTAGCGAGAGGCAGGGCAAAACAGGTATGTTGATAGTATTGAAAGTAATGATGATGATCATGATGATGGTTGTGATAGTGATGATGGTTATGGTGGCGATGATAGTAATGATGATGATGATGATGATAGAGATGTGCAAGGTAGATGATTCTGGAGAGGATCGCATCTGAGCTGGCAAACTAATACTGGTCCATTTGGTTGGTACTACATGATAGGGAGAGGCAAGCAAAGAAAGGTATGATGATACAATTAATGCTGATAAGCGTGGTGACACCCATATTTAACCCTTACTGTACTGGGGGGGGCCTGGGAGGCCCCCCCCTCGACATTTTCGGAGATTGCGCCGCAACCGCTTGAAATTTTGAATTGTCGTTTCATGACTTTTTTCCTTCAAGTCTTACGCACGTTTTGATACCATTTTCATCGCAATCGGATATACCTGTGAGGTGTTACATAACAATTAGTATGCGCATGTCATCAAAAAATATGCTATAATTGCATATATTCATGTACAAGCAGAAATGTGAATACAGGTTTAGATGTATTCCTTCCTAAGTGGGTGATATGAATTGATATCGAATTGCTTTTATATGTTTCTCAAAGTAACTTGATGTATTCCAGAACAAAAGAATACATAAGAAATAAAAACAATAGATATAATAAGAAATAAAAAAACAATAAAATACATAAGAAAATAAATATTTGAAAATCGCATCAAATTTGCATAAATTATCATTATTAATTACATCAAAATAAATATTTTGTGTTAGAAAAGAAGTTTCATATGAATAATGAGTTTCAACATTCAAAAAGTGGAGTTTGACACATTTTCTGTAAAATGCATGAAATTAGCATTTTGCATAATTAATTAGGCTATAACGACAAAAATTTGCATATTCGAAAAAAACTAATTACACCATCTTGTTCGTTACGCGAATATCTACAAACATGCAAATTTTCGTGTTCATCGGACATCCGACGGCCGAGATCATAGGGGGGGGCCCCCCCCCCCCCCCCCCCCCCCCCCCCCCCCCAGTCAGGAGGTGCTCAAAATAGCCCAGTACAGTAAGGGTTAAGATAATGAGGAGGAGGAGGATGATGATGATGGTGGTGATGATGATGATGATGATAAGATAATGGTGGTGATGATGATGATGATAGAGATGTGCAAGGTAGGTGATTCTGGAGAGAATCGCATCGGAGCTGTCAAAGTGACCATTGTCGATTTGGCTGGTAGCGAGAGGCAAGCGAAGACAGGTATGAGAGGTCTACCCGTAATCCTTTTCCTAATGCCAAAACATACCAAGTCTAATTTTTAGGATTGGAGGTTGTGGAGCCTTTTGCTAGTCAGATGAAATTATATGTAGACATGGTCACTATATTGTCACTACATTTATTATTAACTATATTGTATATTAATGCTAAATATATTACTCATTGCAGATGTAGTATCGCAAATAATATCACTAGTGTTATTTGCTTGATCCGCCCGTAAAAACATGCTTGCATACAATATATTTTATCACCTGACGAAGCGTTGCAGCGGCGACAAAACATTGTGATCTTTTAGATCCCTTGTTGACCATACATTGCGAGACAAACAAATATCACTAGCGATATCATTTTAGATATATATTGTTGCAAATATGTAGACTAGATTTAGGCAAAGAACAAATAAATTATGTTGCCTGCAGCTCCATTTGTGCCCTGTTTTTCTTCTTTTTTCTTTTTAACTGGGGACAAGGAAATGTTTTCCTCTTAAACATAGAAATTACTCATTGGCTCTTCTCTAATTTCTCTTGTTTTAGGCGCAACTGGAGACAGACTCAAGGAAGCGACAAAGATCAACCTGTCGCTCTCTGCCCTGGGAAACGTCATTTCAGCCCTGGTGGACGGCAAGTCTAAACACATCCCCTACCGTGACTCCAAGCTCACACGTCTACTCCAGGACTCCCTCGGTAAGTGTGAACAGTGTCAGTGTAGAGGTGTCGTGGTCGAGTGGATATGTCACCGAACTGTGGATCACAAGGTCCGTGGTTCGAGTCCCACCCTAGCATTAATGTCCTTTCGCAAGACATTTGCCACACTGAGATGACGGCTGCCAGAGCTAAAGCTAGGGTAATCATGTCCAAAGCTCTTTGGAAGCGCATAGGGACGCTACAATGCGTTATACAAGAACGGAATATTATTATTATTATCTATTAAAGACGAAAAGCGATATTCCCAAACTGTATGATTAAGAATGGTAAGAAAGAAAATTGATTGGCAAGAAATGTGGGTCTTGTTTTAGGAGAGACCAAAGTTACTGTTTTTCCAGTAATCCACTATCAACAATTACTGCATTTAATGAAAATTTTGAACACCGATTTCCTTTTTTTTCAGGTGGTAACACCAAAACCCTCATGGTCGCCTGCCTCTCGCCCGCCGACAACAACTATGACGAGACCCTGTCGACGCTCCGGTACGCCAACCGTGCCAAGAACATCAAGAACAAGCCCAAGATCAACGAGGATCCAAAGGACGCCCTCTTGAGGCAGTACCAGGAGGAGATCAAGACGCTCAAGCAGATGCTCATGGGGGAGATCCCCATTCCTCCAGGTGGTTTTCCAGGTAGGTTTAAAGCCCACTGTACTACTTGTAGCTACAGACCGTTATTGATGATAAAAATTGGGGAAAAACTGATATGATTGATTCCTAAATTCTCCCAACTATATTATATTAATTAAATTTGAAGTGAACCTAAATCGTCACATAGCAATGAATCGGCCCTATTTACCATTCTAAACATTTAAGTGTTGACAATTTTTTGAAAGCCTGTTTTTTTTTCTTGGAAAAAAGGTTTGGATAATTCATAAACTAGTTGGGAGAATTCAATTTTATTTCACTAAAAATGTTTCCAGTTTCGGTAATTCAGCAAACAAGTTGCTGTTGTTTATCAAACATTGTTAATTTCAGACATTGTGGGGTTTTTTTGCCCTTGAATTTAAAACTGTTGATTTATTTCAGCCACTAAATCTCTGTATATTTCCTCGTTATTAACCAAGCATTTTTTGAATGAAATTTAAACCCAATTTTTTAACCAGGCATGGAGATGATGGGTGAGTTGTGTTTCAATCTCTGTGTGACGACTATCCAACTGTCCTGCTTCAAAACTATCATTTTCCCCCTCTTCTAATATCAATGTCACTCTGTCAGTCTTATAATACGGCCACGTGGAGTACACATTGATATCTTTGGTTCAACTCATTGCAATTTTTGTCAAAATTAGGATTGATGTTAAAGTTGCTGAAGCGTGGGTATATAGTTGTTAGTGATGTAGGCAACTTGGCGATCAGTACATAACACTGAACCAACGGGTATTACGCTCTGTGTGTATTTATGTGTGCTGCCCTCTATATACCCACGCTTGAGCAACTTTAAAGCACAGATAATCACTTTATATGCCAGGGACTGCTCATTTTGTGTACTAAATGAGCTGTCCCTGGCAAGAGTTGTTTCTTAAGCTAACACTTTATCCATTGTCATACTGTTTATCATTAAATCTTTAAATAGGCTTACTTGTGTGCATTTTTCCCCTTTAAAATCGCAAGGAGGAAGGCCCTCTGCCTCAAGACCTTTAATAAGTTTTCCAATACTGTGAGACATGGGGGTGTTTCACAAAGACTATTAAAGATCAATTTAGATTGGCCTTGAACTATGGCAGGCCGTTTCTGCTACTAGATCCTCTAACCATACCTGCCACTGGTTTCTCAAGGGACGTACACATCGTGGTCACAACCAGACAGAATTTGCATTTTTTAATAAGGAAAAATGTTATCTAAAGATCATAATTTCTACGGTTTACCCATCTAATTTTACATCTGGTTTGACTTTTTAAGGGCATAAATCGCATACCATAGTATAAGTCCAAGTCTTAAATATATTTTATGTTTACAATATAAGTAACTTTTTCCTTCAGCAATGAACTATCAAAAATGTAGATTTGTGACGTTCCTTGAGAGACCAATGGTGAGAGCAACCAGTACGTGGCATGAATGGCCTGCTGTATTTCAAGTCCAACTTTAGTCGATTTTAGTCTTTGTGAAACACTCCCCCATGGAGTTGATTTAAGTGACACCAACCACTTCAATGTCAAAGAAAGAGTTCATGGAAGAACACTGGTGAAGGGATACTAAGTGTTGGTTTTGACACTAACACCAACACATATTGTGATGTTTCAAATGACTTTATCCATACTCCATTTATAATCCAAACATATCTACAGTCTTTCTTCAGAAGTAATGACACATTTCTGTTCCAAGCCAAACATTGATTTTGAAATCACACTGTCCTCATGAATTTACATGTGCACATAATATTCTATCCATTTACCTGCATAGAGATACATATATTCTTAAGGTGAACTTAGTTAAACCTTGGTTAAATTACTCTGATAAATTATGGATCGTGAAGTGTCAAGCACTTTGTTCTCCCCTGTAGACAGCACATAATAGAAATTTACCACACTATATCTTTCATAATAATCATCATTGTCGTACTACACTAATATTTATGTTACATACATGTACATACATTCCATTTCACTTCATATCAATTTAAACCTAGATTGATGCAAATATATCCTACTTTTTCATGCGTTCGGCACCTTATTCAAATAAGCCAGAAGGCGAAATAGTAATATTTTAAAATTCCCATGTATTTAGCATATTTGTCCATTATTATCACCACACTTCACTAACATTTCTGTTACATACATATGTACATATGTAAAAACCTATGAGTGATATATCTTCATTTTTTTCTTTTGCTGACTTACACTTTTGTGTGAGGTGTACTCTACGTTCGTGTGCAAACGTTTGATCGCAACAGATTTAAATTCATATCTATTTGTGTTTCCTTTGGTTAACAGTTAAATCTATTCTAAAACTATTCTTGTGTGGGTAAAGCTTAGTGATGTGAATACTGCTTGAATTGAGAATATGGTTTTGTAAATTAAATTGGGGTCATAGTTAATGTAATGTCCAGATTTGGTGGTTTTTGTGAATTTCTAAAACAATATTTGCAATTTGAAATGGACATCAATTAGCATAAGCAGATGAAAAAAAAGAAAGGAGGGGATGGGGGCAGAGGGGTAGGGAGGCAAATGAAATATGATATTGATATCAAAGACAAAAATAGCAGAAGGCATTCAAAAATAATTTTGAAAGAACCAAGATTTGTGAATAAGACATTATGAGAAGGAGAAGATTCATTGAATTGAATGAATTTCTAGAACATCACAGGTAATATCAGCTATGATGCAAGAATCCCAGAATCTACCAACAATATCATCAAATTTGCAACACATTATAGAAATTAAGACTTAATTGATAATTGGCTAGCTTTTTAAAGCCCATGTATCTATTTTTTAAACAGTTTGCAAATGTGACACTGGTCTTTTAAATGTAAAACATACATAAAACCTCTTTAGATTGAACATTGTATGACATGCATGTTCAAATTATTTGCCTTCCTTTCCCAAAAAATTCCAAATGTCTTTACTTTTTACCCTTTGCGTTCCCAATTTGATGATATTTTTGGTTGCTTCTGTGGATTTTGTAAAGAGCACTTTCGGCAGGTACATGTATTTGCACAACATTACAAGCACTGTTAATACTGGTAAATGGTTATTTTGTATTTGGTACCCTAGCCTGCCTATTCATTAGAAAACAAGATATTTTTGTCCCCTTTAAAAAGCAAAAACTTGAATTACTAATATTTATCCTTGTACCAGCTCCACCAGATGTAGACCTGCAATTGAAAATAGCAGATGAAATTCAATCACTGTCTACGTATACAACCAGAGCACCAATTACTGATACAAACAAAAACGTGCAATAAATGAAAAAGGAAATGAAGCAACAAATATTTTGTATGATGGCATAATTCATTTACTTTCATGATTATGCTTATTTTTTACCAAATAAAATGGTTTTACACCTGTCTAAAGATAAATATTTATGGATATTGCATATGAAATTTTGTTTATATAAACAGCAGTTTTGACTATGGCACAAACAGGGATAGAATCATAAACATCTACGGCTATGCATTAATTATTTCTATTAGTTACATCCAAAATTTACCTGAGATTGTTTAGAGGTCTATTTCACCTGGAAATACCTTTCGGATGTCATGAAACTTAATTACAATAATTCAAACTATCCTAATGAATTTAACCATTAATGAAAATGTTATTTTCTCTTTGACACACTCAGCTGGTGCTTTGGGTGGGGCCCTGTCCAAGCCCCTCGCCCTGCCCCCTCCCCAGTCGGCAGAGGCCGCCCCCGAAGCCACCCCCTCCCAGGAAAGCACCCCTGAAGACACTAATATCATGAAGGAACAACTTCAAAAGGTACTCATCGATCATTGGAATAAAGGAATAATTTATAATAAATATGTGTTTGTAATCATTCATGTATGTTACATGAATATTTATAATAATTTGTCCTTGATGAACTTATAATAATATTTTTTGTCAAGACTTTGTTTCTCTTCAAATGTGAATCAACTTGTAAAGAGGAAATTTTGTTAGGGTTTGTATTCTGACCCTTGTGGACAGAAAAAAAGGAGAAAGAAATAAAAGTTGGAGAATAGCCCCTCAGATCGGTAAAGACATTTTGTTCAATACGGATTCTTTTCCCCTACTCTTCTCTACCCTTTAGATTGAATTTACACTCTTTGATGGTTTTACATGAAATAAGAATTTGATGGCTGTAAAATACACAATGAGTCTTTGGCATCTATATTGGCAAATTTCTCATTGTTTGCTTTCTTCACTTTTTTTCCTTAGGATTATCAAGCCGAGCTTGAGGAGATGAAGGCCATGTATGAGGAGGAACAGGTGTCTAAGGCTAAGCTCCAGCAAGACATGGACCAGCTCAAGTCTTTGTATGATAACAAGCTAGCCCAGGTCTCAGAACAAGGAGGTAATAGAATACACACTTTATATGTATAGAAACCCCTTGTAATAGCTTAGAAACACAAGTTTAATTATATCTTTCTTGTTGTGCGATAATTATCGCTGAATTTTGTATCATTATAGAGCATGTACATTCCTCTTTAAAATGATACCATATTTGTTATCATTTTGCAGCCATGGCATGAGCAGAATATCGGAATAAGGGGCAGGGTCAAAAGAGAAAAATATTCTTCTTCTTCCCAAGATACCAAAAATGTGTTTACATCATTTGATATCAATCAGGAAATAAAAAATTTGAATTTCATGGGATCAGGTTTCTTGCCTGTATCTTGTTGATTGACATTTTCATTTTTAGTAGTATTATCATGGTCTTTGACATTAACAATGTCATATTTGTTAACGTTTTGTTTGACATTGTTGATGTCCTTGACAATGACATCATCATTCACCATTATGACATCATAATTAACCATTATGACATCATAATTAACCACTATGACATCATAATTAACCATTGTGACATCATAATTGACCATGTCTTTGTACTTGTCATTGTGACAGGCGAAGCATCACCAACAGAAGCGGGTCAGAAGGTTATCACACTAGAGAGAGTACAACCTCCTCAGGACGGGGAAGCTGCTGCTAAGCCAGATGCTTCAGGCAAGCCAGTTGCGCAGGTAAGAAATTGCTTCTTTTATAATTTCAATCTTGAATAGCAAGTTACAACAAAAAAAATAGAGGAAAAATAATAATGCATGCATGAACAGTTCTTGGATTTCCCACATTGATTCAGAATGTATGAAAGTTTCATGCCGTGAAACAATTAGATCACAGTTGACAGCAGTATATTTCCTTTTTGTTGATTCAGAGAGACCATCCTTCCTATCTCCACTAAGAGGTCTTATATACAATTTAGCTGATTCGTTCTCTCATTGGTCTTTCCCTATGTTGATTCAGGGAGAGCAGTCCCGTCTTTAAAAGGAATCATCTCTATCCCTAGCCTTTAAAAACCATCCTTTCTGTCTCCCTGAGGGGTCTTTATATACACATTTCACTCATTCTCTTCATTCATTCATTCATTCATTCATTCACTCACTCATGAGTTTCACTCTTTCATTGTCTTCTGTTGACTTAGGGAGAGCAGCCCCGTGTTGAAGGGGAGCCGTCTGTACCCCCTACCGAGGATGAGGGTCCCTCTGCACCCCGGTCCTCTCCTAAGATGCCCCGTAAGGACCAGGGAGGTGGATTCCTAGATCAGGAGGAGGCTATGAAGAGGTATGTGTGCACTCTCTCTCTCGCTCTTTGCCTTCATTTTACTCTCCTCTATGTCATTATTTCTTAAAATCTGACAGTGGTCTCATGATCCGGTGACCCGGGTTGGAAACCAAGTCGATGCGCTAGTGCCCTCTGGTAATGCATTAATCCTCATTACCAGGTCCCTCGGAGAGGACCTAAAGCTGTCAGTCTTCTGGTTGCTTACTAACAAGCATTTATTGCTTTCTTAGCTGTCAGGTAAAATAACCACCACTATCACTATCTTCCCCTTTCCTCCCCCTGGCCACTTATAGTGTCACTCCTTTTCTCTGTTTCTCTCTTTCCTCTCAGCAAAGGTAATTGAGGACACGAGGCAGCCACAAAGAATGTGTGTTTCTCCCCAGTCTTTTGCCTTGTCTACCTCTTCTATTCTGTCTTTCTGAATCTTTCCATAAAGATTTGTTATCTATCCCATCCTTACTTATCTCTCTCTCTCTCTCTCTCCCTCTCCACTCTGCAAAATAGGTTGGTTTCTAGGAGATTCCGTCAAAATTTCTCTATCGCTATTTATCCTCTTTCTTTTGCATTATCTGTCACTCTCACTCTATTTCTCTGAGGTGATAGCTACATAGTCTCATTGTATTAATCTTGTAACATACTTGTAACATGGTTTGTGTGGTAGATTATCGAAAAATCTTGTTAATTGATTAGGTTACAAGCCCTGGAGCATGAGATGGTCAGAGAAGAGAGAGCTACAGATGAAGGGCTGAATGAGAAGAGGAGGAAGAAGTTGAAAAACGCTGAGATAAGGAAACTAAACCTCACTAAAGCCAGCAGTTAGATTGACAAATTATTCTGTAGTCTTCATTAGTCTTTTTTGATTTTTACAAAATATCTTGTTGAATTTTCAGGCTACAAGCCCTGGAGCATGAGATGGTCGGAGGAGAGAGAGCTACCGATGAAGGGCTGAAGGAGAAGAGGAGGAAGAAGTTGAAGCACGCTGAGATGAGGAAGCTAACCCTCGCTAAGGCCATCGCTAAGATGGATGATGATGGCATCATGCTAAACATCTATAGCAGTATCGAGGACGAGCTGAAGGCGAAGAATGAGCTGCTCAAGAAAGAACAAGAAAAGGTACACTAGTATACAAATAATACACAGCAGTGAGGGCATTAATAAGAATTACCCACATAAGGTACCTTTGGAACAGTCTAACACGCCTGAGGCGATAACCGAGGGTGTTTGGACTGTTTTGAAGGTACCGAGTGTGGGTAATATCACTAATGCCCAAACAAAATAATGTGTATTATTTGTTTTATAAGATTATGTTTAATAAAATGATGTTTTATAACATGATTTTACTAATGACCGGTCATTAGCATTTGATAATGACCAGGCAAAATATATGCCTGGTCACGTGTACGCTCTCAACCAATCATTTCATTAGGATCGATGTCATCATCTCATAATTTCATTTATATCGTTTTTCACTATCCAGCATCCCCTGTGCCTGGAATGTTAAATTGTAGTTGGGTGGCTGATAACCCCTTTGTCTATTTTGTTTCTGTAGTTGAGGGCAGCAGATTGTGAAATCAGTGACCTGAATGCCGAGTTTGAGTTTGAGCGTATCGACTACCTGGACACGATACGTAAGCAGGAGAAACAGATCACCATGCTGCAACAGATCCTTGATAGAGTACAACCATGTCTACGAAGAGACTGCAACTATTACAATCTGGATAAGGTAATGCAGAAGATGAGATAGCGATGAAATTGGGGGGGGGGGAGGGGCAGATAATAACAGATACAGATTCTTGGTAGGGTACAACCGTGTCTACGAAGAGACTGCAACTATTACAATCTGGATAAGGTAATGCAGATGATGAGAGAATAGAGGGGAGGGGGAGGAGGAGGGGTAGGAGGGAGGCACACCCTGATACAGAGAGATTCAAGCAAGAACTTGAAGGGGAGGGGGGGGGGGGAGAAAGAAATAATCTTGATAAGGTATGGTGAAAAAAGAGAGAAGGGATTACATGAACATATGATATGTAGAGATGGGTGAAAAGAGATAAAGAATTGGAGGGTGGGGGAGGGGGTAGATAACAGATACAGATTCTTGATATATTACAAACGTGTCTTCGAAGAGACTAACTATTACAATCTGGATAAGGTAATGTAGATGAGGAGAGAGAGAGAGTAGCGGGGGGAGGGGGGGGGGGGGAATATGAGGGAGACACACCCTGATACAAAGAGATTTAAGCAAGGACTTGAGGGGGGGGGGAAGAAAGAAAGAATCTTGATAAGGTATGATGAAAAGTAGAGAGTAGGGATAACAGAAACAGGACTACAATGATGCAAATAGTTAAGTAGATAAGAGTGAATAGAGATAGGGAATTGGAGGGTGGGGGGGGGGGGGGGGCAGATAATAACAGATACAGATTCTTGATACAGTCTGACCATGTCTTCGAAAAGACTGCAACTATTATAATCTGGACAAGGTATGAGAATGCATGAGCAGAGGAAGAAATAGACAAATGGAGAGGAGTTTATGACAACACATTTACTAACGCTAAATGAGTACAAACCTCGGTAATCTAGAAAAATTGTAGGAAATCAACCAAAGGATGGATGATTACGATGAGAGAGATAGAGAAATAATCAAAAATAGGGGAAACTAGGAGAGGAGGATCTCAATGGATTAGAGAGAAGAGAATAAGAGACATTTTTGAGAGAGTAATGAGTGCATAGTATTACCTCATATAATATATATCGTAGTATATAGGTAAAGAGACATTTGTATTAAGCGCTATATAAAAGCAGAATATTATTATTATTATATCTTTATTTGTCATCAGATAAAAGGAGAATGCTCTTGGGATGAGGAAGAGGGTCGCTGGAAGCTCCCCGATCTCGTGGTCGTACGAGAGAAACTCCCCACCACCACACACCCAGGGGGCGCCAGCATGCCGGGCGGCATCATGCCCGGAGGTCGCCAACCTTTGACCCAGAGAGGTCAACCCGAAAGGTCAATGCCAAATAACAACCGACCTCAGGCCAATGGGTACCCTAATGCCAACGGGATCGGTCCTAGTGCATATGACGAACCGGAGGAGGATCGTTATCTACAGGTAATGATGCTGTTAAGCGACGCATTTTTCTTTCCATTGCTGCTTCGCACCTAGGGGGTGATATTCTGAAAATTATTTTTATCTGTTCTAAAGAGTGATATTGTTGCTGTCATAACTTTATCATATATATTGTTGTAACAAATCAAATTGTGATGCTTTGTTATGACTGTAGCGGTGTACGTTTAAGACTTCTGCACAAATACCCAACAAAGGTTGCAATATAATTTTGTTGTGATAATTAAAAACCCTTTCTTTACAAAACGTACTAATTGTATTTCAGAAGACTACCTGAGGAGATAAATGCTACAATTGTACTGTGATAAAGATTTCCATTACTTTTTCTCCTTCGCCATTAAATTAGCATTTTTTTAATGATTTATTTTAATCCAGAGTTTAATCTACATTAATATTATTATTATTATATGAAAGGGTGCTTTTTAAATAAAATGTTATGATTTTATATTTTTGAAGTTCATAGATATATGGCATAATATGTGCTGTATGAATGAGATCTTGATGCTATACTCATGTTCTTATACAAAGTTTAAAACTTAAATGTTTTTCTCTCTTTTTTTAAATTTACCAACAGAAATTGAACCAGTCCAATCATGACTCTGCAATAGATTATTTCAAACCTAAGAGGGCCAACAAGCTACTAAACAACTCTGATTCCAACAGGACTTTGAGTAAGTTTTTAATTAACATTTTGTCTTACTCTGCCTATGTATAGAGATGCATTAACATGGGTACCGTATGTGCAATTTTCACAAGCCTAATTTGGCTTTCTACATGCAAAATCCTTTTCCTTATCATTTTATTTTCATTTCTTTTAAATTTTGATGTGCATTTGTCACTTTTGTACCTGACTCTACAAGTAATCTACTTGATTTTGTATACCGTAGTCAGTCTTTTTTTAAACTCTGTTTTTATGAATGATTTTTTTTTGTTTTTTTTTTGTTCCATTATTCTGCATGTACATATAATTTTTGCTTTTTAAAATAAAGTTTCTTGAATTGAAAATTTGAATTTGAAGAATTATTGCTATTTTACCTAGATTAACATCAATGGATAAAATCATTTTGCTGATGTTAACATGTTTGTTTATATGAAAGTTTCAATTTTTTAGAACGAATTGACCGATGTGCGTTGCTTGCAATGGTGTGTAAACCCAACCTTTCTGTACGTTCGTTTCACAGCCGCAGACCTTCCGATGCGTGGCCCCTCCCCCAATTTCCTCACCAACACTGACATGGCCGCCGCGTCCGTCCACGGCCAGCTGGGCCCGGCTGACGTCCCCATGAGACGCCCCATGCGACTAGAGGCCCTCCCCACGGGCAAGCCCAAGAAGGGCAAGAAGAAGCACAACACACTGGAACCGCTTTAAGAAGGCAGACAGGGCGCCGCACTTGCACCCTAGATGTTCTGGGGCAACTTTGGGGGTTGGTGGGGCAAGTGGACTGAGTGTTTTGCTGAGAGCAGAGAGGATTTGCGGCTGAACTAGATTCATTTGAAAGAATTACTAGTACATGTGCATGTAGATTTTAATGATAGGATTATTTCTATGCGTATACTGTATTTTCCCTTTGCTGTCAACACAATTGTCTGTTTAATAGTTGTACCCTGTGCCCACCATATATACACCATGTGTGCACCATGAGTGCACCATCTATGTCCCCATTGTGCACCATGAGTGCACCACAATTATGACAACTGTCTGCTATGTGTGCACCGGTGTGTACCATGAATACATCTCATGTGTACCATGTGTGCATCATGCATACGTCATATGTGTACCATTCATACACCGTGAATACATCATGAGTGTACAATGCATACACCATGACGTTACCCTTTGTGCTCTAAGGTTACATCACATAAGCACCACAAGTGCACCAGGTAGTCTAGACCTCATTTTTGTTTCCATCAGCCAGTAGAACATGCTATGACATTTAATTTGTACTAATTGACAAAACATAAACAAAATTACAGATGCTGAAAAAAGTCATCTGATTGGTTGTTCGCTGGTTAAAAACTTCTTTTACACAATCAATTTGAAAATTGATTCAACCCCATTCTCTCATAGCTGTCTAGATGCCGTCTACGACAGTCCGACAAACAACGCTTTTTGCATACCAATCGAAAGTACTCATTAAAGGTAACACAAATGTTCACATTGATTGTGTAAAGGTAGTTTTCAACCAAAATTACAGATAGTTTCCCTAAGTCACATAGTTAGTTGTCCAAGTGGGCTGCAAAATTGCCAACAGAAATTAGTAGAAGAGTGCATCTTTGAACGACTACTAAAGCAGTGCACTTTAGCAAGGTGGCATGATTTGAATTGCAGCCTAATCCTAGCAATCGTTGTGTTTTTGTATTATAAATTCTCGTCTAACAGAACTTGAGCGTCTTTCTTTTACTTTTATCAAGCAGTTGACAATAGGTATTCATTCGAATTCAAAAGATAAAGAAATTCTATGGATATTATTAGATGTATGTACATAAAAAAGTATTGTTACTTCTTTCTTTCATGTATTTATTAGATGTCTCCCGAAGCATTCCTCTTCCGTTTAAAGGATAATCACTGTCATTATCATATCATTATCATATCATATCATATTTGTCACCAAGGGGGTGTTTCACAAAGATCCTAAGTTGAACTTATCTCTAAGTTGGACTTAACAATTATGGAAAGCTGTTAGCGTCTATGAAAATATTTTGTAAAAGTTATTTTAAAAGGCATAAAATGTTGATTCAAATCATTCATATTTTCCATTATCAAGGAAATGCCATGTTCTTGATGTGAAATTTATAAAAAGTCTTAAATACTTATATTTTCGTTTTTGAACATATTTTATTTTAAGGCTACTAATGGCTTTCCATAACTTTTAATTCCAATTTAAGAGTTAAGTTCTACTTAGGATCTTTGTGAAACACCCCCCTGTGTTGTATATAGCCACAGCATATGTCGTCAGCATGTGAATTTTGTCTCAGTGGTGATGCATGTGATAAGCAGATCAATATTGACAGATAGAGCACTGCACGCTTTATAGTGTCCCCCTCATGCCAAAGTAATATATATATTTGTATTTAGTCAATATTGAATAATAGGATCACTGTTGCTCTGTTGGCCTATAAGAACGGCTAATGCTATCGGAACAGCGGAACTGTCTCCGAAGATGGATTTTTCCGGGTATCCTCATCTTTTCAGTTCTGTAGAAAAGTATCCTGACTTATTTAGCGATAACAATCATATATTCTCACAAAATTCCAGATGCAAAAGCTTGCTGCGCTTATGATTATTGCACAAGTGTTCGCAGGCACATAAATATTGCACGGTGTAAATATTCAATTATGCTAATATTGTGTATAAATGTAAATGAGCGTTAAGTGAATGTGTATCGTATGCGCTGAATCATGTTCATGCTTGAATATTTATCACTGTCTTATTCCACCTTGTAAAAAACAAAGAAGTATATTATTTAGGTGTAAAACTTCTTAAAAACTGTGCTGTATTCAAAGTCATGCTGGTTATGAATATGTATTAGATTCATCATAATTATACTTGTACTTAAACCATCAAAGCTGGTTATGAATATTCATTAGTATTGAAGAAAGTTATGAATATTCATTAGATTCATCACATATATGTTTTTAAACCATGTAAAACTTGTTAAAAATATTAATAATATTGATAATATATACTTGAACTGTCAAAGCTGGTCATGAATATTCATTAGATGCATTATATGTGACAAACTGCAACTAACTGTTTAAAATTCTCCTGTTTTCATATAACGTACATGGGTATACGTTAAAACCTGACAAGTTTTCAGGCACAATATTTGAACGGGTTAATGAGCTTTCTATAAAGCTTATATTTTAAAGTTAAATACTGCTTTGCAAAGATGAAAATGTAAGGAGGAGGTGGTGAGTTCGTGATATCACTCAATAATTGGCAAGCTTGAATTAGCTGTCATAAATTTGCCAAATTTGCAGTTATGAGGTGTAGGTTTACGGTTTCCAAAGAAAAAGACATAAAAGATACAATACCAAAGGGTATCGGTCGGAAACATCGTTTTCTTTTAGAGTCCTTTTCCTTCTTGATTTTCTATACAAATATGTTTTTATTTGACTTTTGTTTTAAACTAGAACTTTTCACAGTTTTCTAATGTGGCATATATTCACGAACATGTCACAAATGATCCAATTGCAACAATGAAGTTTTGCAATTCACAACAGTTTCTTGCTGCAAAAACAAACAAACAAGGTTGTCAACATTATATGTACTTTCATGTCACCTATTTTTCTGGTTTTACAGCATCCTTTTCCAAACTTTTTATAGATAATTTTTCTGAACTCTTAAGCTTTGCTCCATTTAAATTTCCCATCTTCTTTCAGTGACCACTGAAGCATAAGAAATTCAATGCTTCTTTTTAGAGGTGACTTACTATTTTCTAAGTAATGCTGTGTATAAAAGCACCAAAGCAGCTGTTAAAGGAGTGGTCTACTAACATGTAGATTTCATTCAAATGGAAAACAGGGAACTATACACGTAGCATGGTGTAGTTTTATCAATCAATGTCTATCATTTAGCCATTTAGCCCAAAGTGGGAAAAGTGAGTCAGCTTTGCCTACTCTTAATTGGAACCAATAATATTTTCATTTCACTGTAACATTTAAGACACAATAATAGATATATTAATGAACCAGCTTAAATGGAAGTTACAAAAAGCAATGAACATGAAAATGTTGATTATAAAATTACAATATTATCCGGTAATAACTATAAATTATAATGCGTATTTTCATGAGTGACATATTCTACTGCAGCGTAAATGAAATTCAAAGTTCTCTGATTTTAGTGTTTCTGCCTTCCAGTATAATTCTGAGAATTCTATATCAATAGATATTTCAAAATGTTAATAAAAAGTAAAATTGTAACTCTATGGGATACCCATTATAGTTTTCAACGATAAGTATAAAATCTACTCATGATACTTTTTTATCAAATAACTTAACTTTTATTATTAACCCAATCCTCTGTATTCTTTTGCATATTTTTTTCAACCAGAATTTGTCAATAATGTCTTATTTTGCTGAAATTTTATTTTTCTATCTTCTTGTCAATATTTATGCACTCCGTCTTTTATGCCATTTTTATGAATTGTTATGCATTGTTTATAGTGTGTGCTGTGCTTATTAATACTGAAATTATTTTTCAACAAACTTTTACAATTTTCACTAGATATTCAATTTCAAAGATGCTATATTAATTGATAAATACAAAAGTTTATGTTATAGTTTTTATGTGTACAGAAGTTCAGAATGTCTATGTTATTTTAAGCAATGTTTAACCAGAGAGTGTGTATTGTTCTTGATTTATGTAAACTCTTCTATTTGTATAAGTTTTGTTTGTATAAGTTTTTATTATTTTCAATAAGATTGTGTTCAGTTTGTTGATAGATGTATGGAGCTTAAAACCAAAATATGATAACAATCTTCAAATAACCCTTTACATACTGGAACTGGGAGGTCCCTGTGTTAAGCCTATGGGAATTAGAGAATTCAGTAATCAACTGGTTAACATACCTTTGAGACTACAAAGTAAGAAACAGGGTTTAGCATTAGTTATACCTTATATTTATACCATCTCTCTATTACTAAACTTTTGCCACTAAAGTTGGAATAAATATTCTTAGTGATCGATTCTCGAGAGCCAAAGAGATTGATCAATACAGTCCTGGGGATGATATACTTTATCGAGAATAAACCATATTGTCACGATCACTTCATGAACAGAGGTCAGAATCGGTGACTTAATATAATTATTCCAACTTTTTGGGCAACGGTGCTTTGATTTGTTTATTTAACGATAGTATGACTTGAAATTAGTGAAAACAAAATATTTATCAATAAAGTCATGGGAAGATATACTTTATCTGTCAAGAATAAACCATATTGTCACGATCACATCATGAAAATAGGTCAGAATCTGTCACTAAAAATATTTATTCCTACTTTATGGGCAACAGCTGTATATGATTCGTTTATTTAATGATATTATGACTTGAAATTAATGATAACAAAAAGGGGTGATGTTCATAATTAAAGCTATTAGAGTTAAATGAATGGAATATGTCATCAAAAAGTTGTGGCAGGTTGAAAGTTTGTTAAGTTCAAAAAACCACCATGGGAAGTAGAAATGTCTAGATTAAAATTCAGAGCATCTTGTATGTATGACTCTAAGATTGCTTGCCCGGTCATTTCTCAGTTATTGTTTATGTGCAATACAAATATTGACTTTGTATTTAACATACATTCCTCATCTGCATGTACATGTATAGACATTATAACATTTAATATTTATAGGAGAATATTTAAAGCAGGCGCTTTTTCAATTTGGCATTGTTTTAAATTGGCAGATTTTATCAAAGTTCGTCCATTTCAAATTCAACTACTGGCATATTTACCAGAACATAAATGCCTCTTCTCTCTCTCTGTAATAATAACCATATATTTGACATTGAAGAAATAGAATGTTGTTATCTTGCTTACGAAACATGTAAAGTGTTAATGTATAATCGTATTGACTATAAATTCATAGTAAACCCATGTGATGTAATGTAGATAATTACATACCGGTAATAGTCATATATAATTACAACATTGATGTACATTAACTGTAAAATAAGTGTTGCATGTCGACTAGCAGTTATCCTAGTGAAAGGTTTACTTCCAGTGATTTGTGATATATTTCACCTACTGTATAAGTCACTATATTCACAAGGGTTTATTTTTTCAAGAGTCACCAAGTTCAGCTGATGCACAAATTGTATGGAGGAAAATTCAAGAGTAATTACTTATAGAATATGAAACGTTTCGATACAATTTGAGTTTTGTGTAATGTAAACTTTCCACACACCAAAAACATCTTCTTGAGTTATCTTCAGTGAAATCTTTAAATAACTGGTTGCATGGTATACTCTTACATTAATTACTGAGCCAAAATTAATGCATTGTTTTGAAAATTACAATAGGGCCTTAATTCTTGATAGATCTCACAGTTGAAACTAGACCCAACGCTTCAGTCTCTGATATCAATGGTTGTTCCGCTGAGATTACATCTGGCTCCTCTAACGGCCTCTATACATAGAAGGTTGACAAATGTCATATTTATTAAAGAATGACTCATACCAGGTGGTTATTTCTGTCTAAGTTAAAACATGGTATAAGCTACATCACTATGAACTACAACACTATGAACTACAAGGACTATATAATTATTCACAATATAAATGTTTGATGCTGTAATATTGCCTATTTATGCATGTACCTTGCATTGCGTACAACACTGGTGTAAACTGTTCAATTTTCCTCTGCAGAAGTTAATTTAATGAATGGAATTCTATATGTATATTTTGTGTTCTGTGTGTGATGTGTGTGTCATATAGTTATAGGAATAAATTATGCAGCATTAAAATATTGAGAAAACGTATTATACACTTGTAATATTTCTGAATAAATCTGTGGTACTCGATGTGATTGAGAGAGAGAGAGAGAGAAGGAGAGAAGTAGATAGAGAAAGATGAAAGGGAAGGAGGATCAAGAGAGAGATAATTCTAGAGAAGAGAGATGTTGGATAAATACATGTTAATACAGATCCGAGTCCACATTTCCTTAAAGTATTTCATAATGAAACTCATTTGAAGCTATTGTATCTATTAAATCTGATCATGTGTAAACAAAAAAATGAATCAATATGTATCTAAGGGGGGGGGGGGGGAGGGGGTAAAATATGTTTCAAGTTTTGCAAGCTCATTGTGTTTGTTGGTGCAATTGCTATATCAAATTATACGGGTATATTGGTATGTAAACCCTTTTTTTCTAACTTGCTAATATTGTTTGATCGGCAGGCAGTGTGATAGGGTCATAGTACATAGATCAAGGTTAATTAGTGTATCCTGGACTTTAGACTGTAAACTAGCTGCTAGATGATTCTTCTGATCCATATGTACATACATAGTCAAATTCATAATTATAATACACAATTTTCCAACAAATTTCATTTATGGTCTGTTAAGTCTATATGAAGCTAAATCAATGAGTTATCTAGGTCCTAAACATGCAGCCTGGAATATGATTACCCAAGTAATAATGAAATCACAATTCATTATCTTCCTTTAGAAAACAATATAAAATCTACTATTCGAAATAAAAGATCAGCACAGTTGTTGCTTTTTTTAAAAAGATCTGAACCCCCTTTCATTGTTGTTTTGTTTTCTTTTCTTTTCTTTTCCCCATTCATATATTTTTTTCTTCTCTCTATTTCACTCTCTCTTGTCTTATAGATAGTTGAAGTATTTGTACTTTACTTATTTTAATTTATTGTTGTGTGCTTATATATTATAATATTTTGTATTTCTTTTTGTTTTGTTTTTCATTCTGTAATGGGCGATCCAACTTCACAGATTTTCGCAACATTCATGGAAAGCCCCGCATATAACCTTTGTAAACATAGTTAACATTTACTGTTACTTTGTATATTTAGATTTTTATATTGCGAAATAAAATTTAGCTAAATGACAATTTGGAGTCAGTGGCAATAATAGACTAGACTAATCTAGCGGCGCGGCGAGTGACGTCATGATGTATACTTGGCAAAAACGTAAACATTACATATGCCATTGGAAAGTCCCACAGCAGAGACCAGAGAGTCAGAGAGCCGAGTCATTTAATCATCGTTCTTGCGTAAGAACTAATCACTGAAATATAATATTTTGAGTTGCGAATTTGGGTGATCAGTTTTCTCAGCGATGAAGTCGTTCAAAGAAAGGCGAAGTTTTGGTAAGCATTGAGAGAATAATTGAAGAAAAAAACAGTCGATCTTTTTGAAAGTTTGACTGTGTGTGATGTGACTTTGTGAGAATCAATGTTTTGACTGCATGCGCCTATGGCGCTGGCATATGCAGTGCAGTGCTGAAGTTGCTAGCTGAGTACCGAGTGTCTAGCTCTCTGACTCTGAGACGTGTGTGGCATGCATGTGAGTTGTGGTGCTGTGACTTTGTTTGCATATGCATGAATCAATTCAAATGCCCATGCATCTGCATAAAGCATATGCATATTGGCAGTAGACTAAGTAACTTTTTTAATTTGCATACCATCTGCAGATCTGATCCGGAAAGATTGTGTATGCGGACAGTTGATTTAAAATAGCAATATCTGATATGAGGAAGTTAACAAGCAACATTAAATGAATCGTAATTAAAAGACTATTCTGTTGCCAATATTATAAAGGACAAATATTGATGATAATTAGGGCTATTTGATGAATATAAAGAAGTGACTTCAGCTACATTGTGTAAGTACCCATCAAAATCTTATTTATTACAGTCATATTGCTTCCTCATATTTTCTCCAAGGCCAATCTTCAGTACCAGGGTATCTACTATTTATGATGTCACTAATTGATAATTCCAAATGCTGCACCTAAGTTCTGCCCCTCTTTTCATTTCTCCTAATGTAGATGACAAATGTATAGATCTAGGCCAAAGTGTTTCATTCTGTCTAATGTATTACGAAAGAATCAAATGTAATGTAGACCTAGATCTATAACATTTTTGTTATTATCATTTTCTTTGATTTAAATTTTGTTTCTTCATTTTGCAGAGCAAAGACGGAAGGATGTGGAGGAAATACGCTGCAAACATCCTCACAAGATTCCAGTAAGTAAAATGAGTTGCTTTTCTGACTAGTAGCCTAATTAATATGAGAAAAGAGAGAGATCAAGAGAAAATGTTAACATTGAAAGTGTTTTAAATTTGTTTCTAAAGATAGGCAATATGGGCATTACTATCATAGCAGCTTGATCCAATGCTGTATTAATTGCACCTTGTTAATAATTGGCACATATGTATACAATCATACACCCTATCCTTATGGCACACACTATACCAAAGTTCTGCAAGGCTCTTCAAATTAGAAGGAAGCAGACTCCACCGAAGAAGAAGAAGAAGAAGGAGGGAGGGAGGGAGGGAGGGAGGGAGGGAGTAACCGGGAGGAGGAGGGAGGAGGATTTTTATTGATACATGTATTTCAAAGGAAAACTAGAGTCTCAGTATTCTACATATACATGTATATGCTGAAGTGAGGCTAGTTTACAGCTTCTAATGCTCATGCTTTCATCCACAAATTATATTTTATCTGATGAAAGGCATTGTTTATGTTAATTTAGGGAGCAACAATTTCCCAGCCGGAAAGGTAATGATTAATATCGCTGTATACATTGTACGTTTTTCTTTGCAGGTGATCATTGAGAGGTATGAAAGGGAGAGGAGTCTACCCCTGCTGGATAAATCAAAGTTCCTAGTACCTGATCATGTGACCATGGGAGAACTCGTCAAAATTGTCAGGTGACTATGAATAAAGACTCAATGTATATGTTTACAAACAGAATATTGACTTGTTACATTACATTGTAAACTGATTTATATTATGTTTACAAACTGAATAATGATTTATTACGTGTGCATTGCATTGTAAATTGATTTATATGTTGAAAAACAGAACATTGATGTACATCAATGAAGTTGAATAAATATACAATATTCAAAAAAGAAAATTTCAGGAGGTTTTGTGCAGTGGTTTACCCTGTCATATCTGAGCGGGCCCTTTGAGGCAAAGACGCTTCAGCAGTGAGCTATGAAACCTTTATCATTTTACTGCAATGTTCATGTTCTCAAAGTAACACACAATCACTCTTAACAATTTATTCTCTTTTCTTTTGTTTTATTCATCAGACGAAGACTCCAACTCAACCCCCACCAGGCCTTCTTTCTTCTCGTCAACCAAAAATCCCTCGTCAGTGTTTCAACGTGTGTCTCTGAGGTGTACCAGTGTGAGAAAGACGAGGATGGCTTCCTGTATCTTGTCTATGCTGCACAGGAAACATTTGGTTAATGGAACTTTTCTTGAGGTATTGTGGACTGGTAACGCCAAAGCGAGTGCGTGGGACTGCATATATGAAATTGTAAACTTTTAGAGATCATACATTGGCTAGCTGCACCAGTGTGATGTGTCTGGGACTACATGTAAGTGATTTTCAAGAAATGATAAACCATCACCAGATGTTATGGTTGGGACTACATGTAAGTGATTTTCAAGAAATGATAAACCATCACCAGATGTTATGGTTGGGACTAAATGTTTAAGTGATTTTCAAGAAATGATAAACCATCACCAGATATTATGGTTGGGACTACATTTGTCTGATCATCGGACCAGCTTCTAGTATTATGAGTTCCAGTAGTCATGAAAGCAAATCGGATCATGATCACGAATTAAATTGTCTTCGTTATTTTAGCAGCTTTTACAGTAAACAAACTAAATATTCATACCTTTTGTAAATTTTGATGTTTTTTGTGTTTTCGTATTTCAAGAAGGAATGGTGAATTGGTTGAATACTTTCAGATGCAAGCTTATACACTGTATACCACATTCTCAAGAAACTTAAATTGGAACGAATCAAGTTTTCACAAACATATAGGTAAAATTTACAGTACCTTGTAAGGTATGACATGACCTATTCTTGGTTGTTTGGGATATTGTAATTATTTTATTCGGTCTGCCGTCTGTCTGCATTCCACGTTGTTGGTGTGACCTTTGTATGATTGTCATGTAGTACTTGATTAACATATCTTGATGAAGTCACAGGTTTTAGGAATGAACATTTCGGAAAATCGTGAAAAGCAGATAGCCCGAGAGATAGAAATACATGTATGAAGGAATTTCCTTCATTCATTTATTTTATTTTAAGGGTTCTCATACATGTATGAGGCTTACCCAGAATTACAAAAATACAACAAATGTATTCAATATGATTATACACTATTATTAAGATTGAATGAACATGTATATACGATAGAAAAAATTAAAAGAATTATTTAGCAAGGCTTTTACTAATTTAATCATTTCATACAGTGCATCCAAATAATTGATACCTTTTCTTTTAGGGCATACATGTACATGATATACAGTATATGTATGTTACTATTGAATAACTGAGGTAAAGTTATATACCCAGTCATTTTTATTTTTTTAATTCTGGAGCTAAAGTCGTGATGAACTTGATATAAAACATCAAATGTACATGTACAGTATCATGTAGATTATTGTTTGAAAATAATACCAAAAATGAGAAGATATTTAATTGTAAATTCAAAATTATGTTGAGACCCATATTACGTAAAATTTTACTTTATCAGTACTTCAGTTATAAATGTGATTTTATCATTTTTTTTATTTCACAAGTTGTAAATAGTGCTCATTTAGATGGTGCATGTAAATTGTCTTAATTTGATATTATTATAGCGCATGTTATTGTTATGTAACCAAAAAAATTTAGAACATTATACATGTAGATAAGGCATTAATATTCAATAATTTGGGCCATTTGTATGAAATGCCAATGAAGAAGTGCAACATATGCTCAAAGTCGGAAGGTTTCATACTATACAAATACTGATACAAATGTTTACTACTTTGAGGGGCACAGTTAAAAGGTGATTGCGAAACTGTCCTGTGCGTGTATCTATTGTTAACTTTACGCTCAGCCACTGCATCTTTTTACTGTATGCGCAATTAAAACTACTGTATGCCTGGTCAATAAATGTTGGCTATACTGCCCAGCATTTAGCAGCAAATTGGTTGTCTTCAGTTTTGACCAATCAGAAGTCTGGAATCTTCATACGCGTTTGTAAAAACAAATAAGTTCTTTAATTGTAGATGGTTGTTGAATAGAAGATGTTCCGTTTACATATACTGCCAAGAGCTTGTTATATTTTTAATCTTGTAACCATGTCTACCCATATGTTGTGTGTCCGGCAGTCTGGTTGTCCGGATCAATTATTTCCGACCTTTAAACTGAAAAAGTTTTCACCCAAGTTGTCAGAAATGTTTAACAAGATATGTCAACAATATTAATATAAGGCCTAAAAAAAAAAGATGTTGTATTGCCCTTTAGGTGCCAAAACATTGGATGGTCGGTCGGTCAGATTTTTTTTTTTTTTTTTCTCCCTCTTTGGGCTGATATTTCTCAGTTTTGAATGCTTTAAAACATTACTTTTCTAAAAAAAAGAAGATTTTTTTGGTCGGTCGCAAAGGGCAATACAACATCTTTTTTTTTAGGCCATATGGATGACAAGTTTTTGTGGAAGTAATTGCCATTTGTCTATTTTTATAAAATCCAACTGCAAATAAAATAGCTTCCCACTCATCTGAAGACCAGTTCATAGATGCTTTAAAAGTTTTCGTTGCTTTTATTGCTACTGAACTAATTACACCTCGTTTTTTTTTCTGAAATTCAAGTTCGATTGATTATATATCTGTTTTTAAGGCATAATCATCGCTATGTTTAGTATCATTAGAAAGTGTATTTCTTCTTCTTAAAAAATGATGCCCCATTTGTTGTGATTTTTCAGTCATGGAATGTGCATTACGGTATATCAAAATATAGAGCAAGGTCAAAATTTGCACAATGCACCGCTCATGTTCGGCTGTGCATTCTCCTTTCTTTGAAGAGTGTATCACTGCTGTGTAGTGCACTGCATAACAAGACCAGTGCATACCAGCAAATTGTGCAACTTTTCACTTTTGACCCTGCCCTTATTCTGATGTCCTGCTCATTCTATCCCTGCAAAACCTTCACAAATATAAAGATGTTATCATTTTAAAGAGCAATAAACATACCGGTACTTTCTAATAAAACCAAAGCAAAAAGCGATAATTATCTCATTAAAAAAGGGAGATATGATCGATTCAACTTCAGCTTATATCATTCAACAAGTCTATGACTATTATTTTGTGATTAATTTTTCCTCTGTGTTTGAATTTTGATGTACGTGCATGTACACTTAAGCCCTATCATTAGTCATATATACATGTATGCAGCATTTAGAGGAGCTATTTTCGTGAGCCATTATGTGCTTTATATCATAAAGCTAAACAAATATATATTGCGATCTTGTTATATCTACTGTATCATAAAATGTGTTATTTTCTGTAAAGAAGAAGAACATATAGGTGGAAATTAAAGGATTTTATGAAATTATTTCCATATTTTTCCTGTGTGCTCAATTCAAGAAATGTTTTCAGGGGCTGTATTCTGAAAACGATGTTATCTTCCATGGTAGAGAAAACAGTGTAATAACACTCAAACTGTGCCAACACCTGCCATTAACCCATGACTTGTCCTAATTTTAATTTATTATGACAACTAATATAGTATTACTAACATGAAGAATAACATCGTTTTCATAATGCCACCCCAGAATTTTTGTAACTCCCATTTGTTTTGTGTTTTCCGTCTTGTATATTCAAGCTGTCCCCTTCTTTCCATATTCATCCATCATGTCCATCTCCTTCTCTTCTCCAACTTTCCGTCTGTAATCCTTTTCTCCATATAAGGTGTAGAGGGAATAAGGAGTTGGGACACATTCAAAAGTAAGTAAATGAGAACGAGAGCGAAAAGGAAAATATTGAGATGGAAGCAAGAGAAGAGATATATTCTGAGATATGTTGTAAAACAAGCCAGCAAAATAATGAACCATACTGTTGACCTAGATGAAGTCTGTAAGGAAAGAGTAGTATCTAAGGCCCTATCCATTATGTCTGATCTTACCCACCCCCTTAATGACCAGTACATACACCTGAGGAGCGGACGAAGATTGAGATCTATTAACCCTATTTAGCCCGGGGGGGGGCTTGAGAAGCCCCCCCTCGACATTTTTCGCGATAATTTTTTAACGCAAGAAAATCTTGCACTGAAATTTTGTGACTTTTTTCTTTCGAGTCTTGCGCATCTTTTGAAAGAAATTTTTCGAAAATCGGACCTACCATTACGAAGTCACGTGTCCTTTTGTCTTTGCATGTCAGCCCGAAAATCGCTCATTTTTGTGATTTGTGTACAAAACATATGTAAATCTCATTTTTCAAATAAAGAGATAAAACATTGGTTATTTGGTCTTGTTTATAGTTTAGGTGTTTATTTTTGGGTCAAAATAGTTGAATTATAGTTGGAAATGAAATAAAACAACAAAAACAATAAAATACATAACTTAAAAAAAACAAAGAAATACATAAGAAATTATCAAAACAATAGATAACATAAGGAATAACCCTGGTTTTTCAATTTTTTGTGTTGTATTATTATTCCAAATGGTCTAACAAATATATGTAGTGAGAAAGAATGCTTAAATATGAATAATGTCTGATTTATGGGCAAAAATGTGAATTTTATGACCTTATTTGCATAAATTACCATAAATATGCAAATGAGTGAATTTTTCAAAAAATTGAAATTACCATAGTATTCTATACACTTCACTTGACATGTATGCAAATTTTCGCGGCGATCGGGCGTTTCACGGCCGAGATCATAGGGGGGGGCCTGAGAAGCCCCCCCCTGGGCTATGCAGTTTCAAAATAGCCCGGGCTAAATAGGGTTAAAGCAAGAACTAGTCGCCGCATTAATTCATTCATACCACTTTCCATAAGAGTAGTTAATGAAACCCAGTAAAGAATAGAGAATGTGAAAACCATGCAAAATACCCTCATTGACATGTTACACGAATATATATATTGTTTTAGTATACTTACTTTACTGTTGTACCTCTACTGTTATACCATATCAAGAAATAATTTTTAACACAAAATACCTACTTTAGATTAGAGCATATAAGAATTTAAAAAATGGAGGGTATGTAAGAAGAAAGAGAAGAAGAAGAAGAAGAAGAAGAAAGAGTATTTAAATGTATATTCATCATGACCATGTATATTATATCAAATGTATACTAAAACAGGGCCCTATGAATGTCAATTATATGTTGTTCCTATGTTCATTTATATGTTGAAGCAAGATTGTTCATGTGCATATAAACAATTATCCTATATGGACTCAATAAAGAAATGAAATGAAATGAAATATTTTCCTCTACTCTCTCTCTCATTCTCATTCTCTAACTTTTGAATGTGTCCCTAATCCTTACTCCCTCTCCACCTCATATCAAGCCACTTCTCTCGCTACTTCCTTCTTATTTTTCCCTCTTGCCGTCTCCCCCATCTCACACTCTGGTTTCATCTTCAACAAAGCTTGAAATACACAAAATACTTTACAAACATTTTTATGAAAATGTTATTATCATACATGAGTCTTTTACAAAACATGATGATCTGTCTATTCCATACAAATATAGTATTTCAGAAAAGCCACATGAACAGGAGAATTCTCAAGGAGAAATTAGAATTAGCATTGGTATTTAAGAAGACAAAGACATGATTAGAGTTCATGTTCAATAATTCTTACTAGTTCTTTATTAGTCTACATTTAAGATTCATCTTGAAGTTCAATTGCACAGTACTTTTTCTTCTGAGTAAAAAAACACAAAAAGATTAACATGTAACATCAACAATATTTTGCTTTTTCAAAGCATGGAAGCGCAAATTTACAGCAAAATTATGTAATATTAAATTCAGTCCCCTAATTTCCTCCATTATTTCATGCTTTTCAAGCTACATGTAATATCCAGCTTGAAAAAAATGATTACAAAGTTTTCAAAAATGTTTCCCTGTTTATATATTTTTCATCAAATAGAATTTTACCTTCTATACTTTGATTTTTTCCCTCATTGAGAAGAAAAGGTTTTGTTATTGAACTAAAAAGTCTTTCCAACTAGAGCTTGGTGCATGATACCTCATGCTCAAGTTCACCTCGTACGTCACATTATCATGTCATGCTAAAAGGCATTAAATCATGCCAAGAGAATCATTATTTATATTTATATATCTCTTCTACATTATCATAAGAAATTTAATTAATAGCCAGGAATAAATCTCATCTTTCAGCATACCCGTACAGGTATTCTTGGGGTGAGGTTTCCTTTAATATTCATCAAGTTTGCTATGCACTCGAATTTGGTACTGCTTGATGGAAATATAGGATGGAACAAGCCTTCTGAGAACTTTTCCTGGGGGTTCCAAAATCTGACATTGTCTTTCTCATGAGCTGTTGGTCAATCTGTAGGGCTCTACAGAGGTCAGCACCCCTTGGTCCTACTGCCCTACTTCTTACAGTTCTATTATATTTCTCTTGGCATATTCATGACGTAATGAAGCTGGAAGATTTATTGACCAAGGATGCTAGCCATTGCTGCCCCTATAGCATTGGTCAGGTTCCTACCGATAGGGTCATTGCCGTAGTCTAAGAGGTCCGTAGTCATAACATAGCTGAAGATTCTATGGATTGAGAAAGGTAGCCATTGCTGACCACATAGCGTCGGTCTGGTTCCTACCAATAGGGTCATTGCCGTAGTCCAAGAGGTCAGCGTTCCAGGGCCCTACTCCGTAAAGACCCATCTTCTTGGCATAGTCGTAGCGGAGCTGTAGGCTCTGAGTATCGTCATACCACACTTGATACGCCTCACCCGTTTCAGAATTCTGTAAGTGGGATGGAATATTAAAATCATGAAAAGACCGGTGTACTATCATATTTCCAGCATACTTTTTAAAGGCATCATTTAAAAATGTTAAATCTGAGAGGCATGGCCCTACGTGTTATCAGTGTCTGATATAGTGAAATATTGAAGCCCTAAGAAATTGTAAAAATCTTTGAGTGACCGGTTTTACCATACTCATTTTCCCCAATAGACTGTAGTGTTATAAAAATGTTAGGAAAACGGTTTTTGACATTTCGATTTCCAA